CTTGAGCATCTGCTACTGCTTCATAGCCAGTAACTGAGACTACTTCAACTGCAACTAAATTTTCTTTGGCATCAATATGCTGAATATCAGTTGAAAATTCCGATATATACTGAAGTTGGTGTTGTTGTCTGGGTTATGCCTTCCCATTCTTTTGCTTCTATGCATATGACAGTGGCTTGTGATCAGTAAGTATGATGAATTTGCGTCCTTCCGATACATGTTTAAAATGCTTGACAGAAAGATATATTCCTAAGAATTCTCTGTCATAGGTACTATAAACCTTCTGTGCATTATTTAATGTTTTAGAGTAGAACACAATAGGTTTTCAGTCTTGTTCTTGTTCTTCCAATTGCTGCAATACTGATCCTATAGGAAAGTCTGATGTATCTGCACACAAAGGGTAATCCATTGGGAAACACAAAAGGGCACCATTGACTAAATCAGATTTGCACTTCTCAAACTGGTGAATTCCTTCATCTGTGCAGGCCTACCAGCGGCAGAGCGGTAAAATCGCTGAACACTGGTAGTTCGGTCCGAGGTTCGAATCCCGCGAACGGACTGGCTGCATGGGCGTTTTCGTGGTTTTCCCCATGTGTAACGTGTATATGAGCCAGTTTCCCTTAGAAAGTCCTCCACGAAGGCATCCCTTCTCTTAGGCAGATAGCCCTAGTGTGCTTTGCCATAATTAAATACACTAAACACCTTCATCTGTGCATAGAACTTTACAATGATCTTTTTTTTATCACCCTTTAACATTTCGTGTATGACTCCTTGAGTTTCTGCAGCATTTTTCAAAAAGCATCGATAAAATTTTATCATGCCCATAAATGAACAAAGCTCATGTATTGTCGGTAATTTACATTGCAGATTACTTCAACAACCTTTTCTGGCAGCGAACAGGAACCTTCTGTAGTTATGAGGTAACCCATAACTTATGTTTAATATGTAATACATAATGTAATATCCCACCACATTACCCATTTCCAATCCTCAGATGTCCAGTGTCTTTTCTCGACACCACTGAAAATGAAGTCTTGCATGTCGGCAGAACTGAGTGATTTTCTTACAGGCACCAAAACTATGCATTCCTATCCCTCTGCAATTCGCTGCGCATAGTTCTAGCTGAAATTTGTTGGGAAGAGCCTTGGTTGACGATTTGTGATAGTTGAATCCGTGTTCTGCCGTACAATTCATCGGAGATACCGCCGATCACTGTCTTTGAAAACTATGCTCGAACTGCAGTTACATTTTTTAGAGAAGGATTCGAAATCGATGCCCCCACTAAATGTGCACCAACAATAAGCCCCTTTTTTCAAATGGTGAACGATCTGCCGCCTTTTTTTCCCCATTTTACTTCATTCATCATGAAAAGCACTCTTACACCTTACTTATACTGGCATTTTAACCAAGTATAATCCACATCATAGAAAAAATTTGGGATATTTCATCCCTAGCATGCATTCAGATGAAAATCTGAAAGGTTTTCTTATTGATTGGCCAGTGTGTGTGTATTATTATATTATGCAACATGAGGCAGCATTAACATGTGGAGCTGGGAAGGCTTCTAATGATCACCTTTCTCTCTTGTGAGAGCAGGATGCACTGAAATTTGATGTCCTTATTTTTTAGCATGGTTATGAGTTTTGTAGACAAGTGGATCATCCACGTTCAAGATATAAGCAATCATCTTTCCACAATACGATACTCAATTTTGTATGTCTTCTTCTCAAATATCATTGTATGGATGTCCTTCCAGCTGAATCAGGAGTCCTGAATTGTGATAGGATTAATGCAAGCCACTTGTTTGGTGTAGCAGAATCTATCTTGATTCTCCTGGGTTGCATCGTTGTCAGTGTACATGTCAGGCTGGGTAAGTAAGTAAGTAAGTTTTAGGCTTCCCTGCTCCGTGAACTAAATCACACTGCAGGCCTACTCCCCCTTTGGGCACGTCGTGGAGGTTCAACCTCCACTATTATCCTCCAAGGGAGCAGCGCACCACCTGGATAAGACACCAGGCAGCACCGGTCGTCTAATGCTCCTACCAGTCGCTTGGGCGAGCCCGTCACAGCGGGACATTACCCAGCGAACCTGGGGGAAAACCTCCGGGCTACTAGTACCACGCCGCGCTAGGACGTGCCAGACTCCGAGGCCGGCCAATAAGTGACCTTTCCCAGAGCCTTCAGAACCACTAAGTTCATAAATTTTATACCCCCGTGGCCGAGACTGCCTAGGTACAGATCCTAGCCAGTAGCTTCGCAGAGTTCTCTACATCAACCCCCGGGGGGGAATGTCAGGCTGGGTACTGGCATTTCTATTTCCATCAGCTTTTTTGCAGCATCAAAAACCTTCATTCTCATGTTAGCAGACACTTTCCTTACTCTTTCTGGCTGGTGACAAATAGTTTTATTTCTTCTTGGCTCATTGCCGGAATCTGAACTTCCGCCGATCGGCTTATAGCAGCTATCATCATTTAAATTTTCTTGCCTGCGGGGTCACCAGATTTTATGACTTTCATCATCCCCAGGTTGCTGTTCAATGCTATCCGCTTGCTTTGAAGAGTTTGGAAACTTTCATCTCTGGATGCTCATTTTTGCTTCTGCAGGAAATCGTTATGAGCAAGCATTTTAAGGTGTTTGAAGAAATCAAGGTCACATTCTTCAGCAGCAGTGAGAGGAACCACTACTTTCGAATATATATTCCAAGTTTGTGATCTCAGAAACAATAAACTGGAAAAAAATTGCTCATTAATAATGCAGAAATCAATAAAAAATTCAATAAAACCATATGGCACGCTAGGCCTTCCTACAGTGCTCCTAACTGAAGTTGGCGCACCAAACTACTATAGCAGTATCAGGCGAAACACAAAGCGAGGGGAACTAGCAACTTAACGCTCACTGTCTCGGAGTCCTCTCCGCAAACGATATCTATACCCTCTTAAGCAATGTCCTTGCCTTATAAAGCACATGTTGTAGCATACAGGAAAGTCCCTCATGTCCAATAGAATTCCTGTAAATCCAACGTATCTTTTTGCTTTATAAAGCACATGTTGTAGCATACAGGAAATACCCAATGTCCAATAGAATTCCTGTAAATAAAACGTGTCTTTTTACTCAGTACAATTGTAATTTCACTTTCGATGCCAAGTTATTAATTTCCAATACTTTCAAAAATTTCTAAAGCCTATCAGAATACACAATGTAAATAATTGTATTGGAGATCTTTCTTTGTGGAGCTTTTCCTTGGAGAACTGGAGTTATACTGAAATTACTGATGAATGAAACCAAAATATTTCATTGCAGACAATGTTTACATTGAAAAGTATAACACTTGGTGCAGAAAATGCTCACAACAAGTTAGCAGCTATAAATGAAAGCACACAGGAATATTTGGAAGCATAACTGGATGAGGAAACATTCGGAAAGAGATATCTCCTGCAATGGGAATGAGCACAGGATATGTAATCTTCAAAAGTTGATTACTGAAATAAGGCAGAGTTCATCAGATACATTTTTTTACAGAAACAGTGACTTTGTGGAGGTCATTACAGAAATGTGGTTATACTTAAATTACTACTGATGAATAAAACCAAAATACTTCATTGTAGGCACTGTTTTACTCTGAGAAAAACATGGTGCAGAAAATGTTCAAGTTAGCAGCTACGGGAAAAGCACACAGGAATATTTAGAAGCAGAAGTGGATGACAAAACATTTGGAAATGAGATCAATTTAATTTTCTGCAATGGCAGTGCAGCACTGGAGATGCTCTCTTCAAACATTGATTACTGAATTATGGTACAGTTATCAGACACATTTTTCTACAGAAGCAGTGACTTTGTGGAGGTCTTTCTTGGAGAAATGGAGTTATACTGGAATTACAGAAGAATGAAACCAAAATACTTCACTGCAGGCATTGTTTTACATTGTGAAGTATAACACGTAGTGCAGAAAATGTTCAAATGTTAGCAGCTATGGAGAAAGCACACAGGAATATTTAGAAGCAGAAGTGGACGTGGAAACATTCGGAAACGAGATCAGTTTAATTTTCAGCAATCGCACTGCAGCACAGGAGATGCTATCTTCAAAAATTGATTACTGAATTAAGGGCAGAGTTCATCATCAGACATATATTTATTTCTTGTATTCAAATTAAGTATATGTAGATGTACATCACTTAATGGCTATCACTGTTTACAAGCAGGTGTATACAGTATGGTGGAGAAAAATGTTCACAAAAAGTTAGCAGCTGCACTGCACAGAAAATATACAGGAATGTTTAGAGAACAAGCATATCAGGCCACATGAGTACTAGAACAAATTCAGAAAAGAAAAGATTTTCATTTTCTGCAACGGTAGGGCAAAAGAAACGATGCTATCTTTAATAATTAGTGGCAGTGCAGCACAGGAGACTATCTTCAAAAAATGACTGCTGAATTATGGCAGAGTTTATCAGACTTGTTTTGCTTTCTACAGAGGCAGTGACTTTATGGAGGTTTTCTTTACAGACATGTGGTTATTCAGAAGTTACTGATGATTGAAACCGAAAAACATCATTGCAGGTATTGTTTACATAGCGAAGTATAACATGTGGCGCAGAAAATGTTCACAAGTTAGCAGCTATGGATCAAAGCACACAAGAATACTTAGAAACAGAAGTGGATTCGGAAACGAGATGACTTTAATTTGCTGCAATAGCAGTGCAGCACAGAAGATGTAATCTTCAAAAATTGATTACTGAATTGTCAGAATTCATCAGGCTTATTTTTCTACAGAAGCAGTGACTTTGTGGAGGTTTTCCTTGGAGAAATGGACTTATATTGGAGTTACACATGATTCAAACCAAAATAACTTCTTTACCGCAATTATTTAAGTTCAGAGGTATAACATGTTGTGCAGAAAATATTCTCAACAAGTTATCAGCTATGGATCAAAGCACACAAGAATACTTAGAAACAGAAGTGCATGAGGAAACATTCAGAAAAGAGATGACTTTAATTTTTTTTCCAATGTTAGTGCAGCACAGGTGATGCTATTTTAAAAAATTATTTATTGAATTATGACAGAGGTCATCAAACTTATTTTCTTTTTCACAGAAACTGTGACTTTATGGAAGTCTTCTTTGCATAAATGTAGTTTTACCAAAGTTACTGATGATTAAAACCAAAATATATGATTGCACGCATTATTTACATTGCAAAATATAACATGTGGTGCAGAAAATGTTCACAACAAGTTAGCAGCTATAAATGAAAGCACACAGGAATATTTAGAATGAGAAGTGGATGATGAAACATTCAGAAAAGAGATGCAATGGCAGTGCAGCACAGGAGATTCTAGCTTCAAGTATTGATTACAGAATTATGGCAGAATTGATCAGACGTATCTATTACTGAAAGCAGACTTTTTGAACATATTTTTTTAGAGAAATGGGGTAATATTCTAATTAGGTATGGATTTAATCATAATGCTTTGTTGCAGGCATAGTTTTTATTCAGACGTAGAAAATGTTACGGTGTGCTGGCTTGGCTTGTTACTGATTACAAATCAAAAATAATTTTTGGTTTCCTGATTCTTTTCTCTCCTGCATTCTTTCTAGGAGATGAAATAATTTTATCTGCTTCTGAAATTTCAATTTCTCTTTTTTCTTGTGTTTGTTTTACAGAAGCAGTGGCCTGTTTTTGTTTCTCATTCTGTGCTCTAGCATCAACAATATACTTCGGTTCTCTAAGAGACATTTTTCTTGGTGCTCTTGGATCAACAAGCTCAGGAAGAATACAATTCACGTAAAATTTTTCGAGTTTTGGAACTAAACTGATCCAGAAAGTTTTGTCTTCGGGTATTCTTAATGTGATTGCATCTTCTCTGCACCATATATATAAATCACACACACCACCAATTCCTCTCTGTTATGGCTAACTGCCCTTGAATTTGAAAATAATATTTGTGGCTTTTCGGTAAATAAAGATTATTATCAGCATCCATCCGAAGACCAACAGAATTAGGCTTGCTGAAAAAGTCTGACAAGTCTGCTGAGAATCTGGCTGTATAAGGACATTTTATTTCAAGTAATCCATCTTCGTCTATCAATCCATCTGGCGAAGTACAAAGAAAGGGATATTTAGGATCAATAAAAAGGCCACAACGTCTGATGTTTTTTCCCATGTGCTTTTCCTTGTATTGATTTAAGGCTACTGCTTCGTTAGCCAAGCCATACTTTAATGCTTTAGTTGAAACGTTATCATTATATATGATACGTTTCACTAAAGCAGCACTGAGTGTTGTTGGACGCCTATCAGCAACATCTTTGAAAAAGGATGATGATATTCTTCTTCTTGATCTTTCGTGACGCCATCTTTCAGATGATGACTGTCCACGTGTTACGGCCTCAAGAGAATCTTTTTTTGGAACTTCAATTGATATAAAAAAATTTTTAGCTGCCAATTCATATGCTTCATCTGATAGGTCTGGTTTCTCAGGAAAATCACCATAAGAAATATCCCCACCTTGCTGAATATGTCCTGCTTTCCTCATATTTCTTTTTTTCTTTTTCTTCTCAGTGTCAAAAAGTCTACGTCTCTCAAGACGTTTTACATGGCGCTTATTTCTGGAAGCTAAGAATTTCAAAGTTGGAGTCCTGGGGCTACTTCCTGTTACAGCTTTTTGTGCATTTTTTTGCCACTGCTGTGCTGGATTTTGATAGGCCATGACAGCAATACTCGCACGCCTGTTCATGCCACCAGCTTTGGAAAAATCAACTCTTTTTCCACCAGATGTTTTACACAGTTGACTCATGAAGCTTTCAGCAGGATTATTTGTGGCATTCCAAATAAGAGTACTGCTACACGATATCAGTACTCTTCCCACTTCTGCTTCAATAGCTTGCAACATACCCGAGGAAAAAATTTCATTGTATGTGCTGTCCAACTCTGCACCTTTCTTTGCACAAAAAGCACTACAAGCATCATGCTTGCCAAATACATGATGTGGCCCATTTCTCAAGTCAGATACTAATGCATCAATAGCTTCTTGTGTGTGCTGATAATGGCTAGGTAAAGCATGAGCTTTTATAGCTACTCTAGCACCTCTGACTAACAGTGGCATTTTAATTTTCAGCAATTTACGGGCAGCAATTCCTTTAGCCCCGGGGAAAGCGCGCAGTATTTTGCTGAAGTTTCTCAAGAGCTCTGCGATATCTTCGAACAGCATGGTTAGCACATTCTACTTTGATCACCCGTCCTCCATATGAAACGCTTTCTTTCACTTTGGCCATTGTGTTAGCATCTCCATCTCCAACAAGTCGAGTACAACGTATTTTGTGAACACACTGGAGATAATTCAGACCTTCCACAATGGCACTGCTTTCCATACCTGTAGAAGGCCCATTCCAATTTCGCCAACAAAGGTGCACTTTATTTGGCATCTTGCCATCTTCAATAGCACTGCATATAAGGCACACTTTGTTGCGAATTCCAACAAACAAAATTTTCTGGGTGACCATGCCTATAATAACAGATATGCCACTTGAAGCATTGTAACCATGCCCATAGCTTCTTTTACACACCAACCTCCATCAACAATGACAGTTATACAGTGATAACCATCATTATCTTTATCATTGCGAAGTTCTCTGCCTGCCTTTTCTCTCCTCTTCTATAGCAGCACACATAGTTTCCTGTGCACATCCCTGTATTATTTTGCCAGTAGTTCGCTCACAAGAAGCAAAGGTCGAGTTGCTCATATACGGAATTTCCATGATGCTAAACTTTTCCTCCTCTCTTGTGAAAATCCACTGCCAGTAGATAACGCACCTAATACTGCAAGCTGATTTAGGCTGCTTTTCTCCATATCAGAACAAATTGTTGCCATTTCCCCACATAAAATTTTATCACATACATAGTTATATGTAGTGACAAGACCACGTCGAATCACTTTGTTAAAAATAAATGATCCTCCAAATTTACAATTTAGGGAATGTTGCTCTAATGTCCTAGCCTGCACTATTACAAAAGACATATTGCAAATTGTTCTGCCAGATGGTAATGGATTTGCCTTTCGTCGATCTTCCCTTTCGATAATTAAAGGTGAATCAGGACACAGAAATTCATCATTAAGGTTCTCCTGAAGAGGCTCAGACTCAGACTCCAAGCTAAATATATATATATATATATATAATATATATTACAATACATATATATATATATATATATATATATATATACACACATATATATAATTAATATATATAAATATTACAAATTAGGTTTAAATTTTGGCTTATTTGATGACAGCAAAGCACTTGATCTTCCTAAGAGGAGGAATGCTTTCATGGAGGACTTTCTAAGGGAAATGGCTCATATACACGGGGAAAACCATGAAAACGCCCATGCAGGCAGCCCATTCGCAATTAGGTTTAGGAAATTTAGGCAACAGATAGCAAATAAATTAACAATAATAATACACTGGATTACCAGTATATTACTACAAGAAGATGAGTCATCTTCACAACTGCTGCTTCCATGCTCGCAGTGTCATTTGCTCGTGCAATATTAGTCAGTACTTTTGTGTGCCGGAGGTTTCACATGAAGGGCCTCTACACCCTGAGTATAAAATGTTCGTGTTCCAGTAAACACTGAATTCAGAGGGGCAAGAATAACTCTTTCATGGTGGATAACTCAGTTACCAAATGGCTTTCTAAGGCTCTATTCAAGCCGTTGTATAAATGTCATAATTCCCAACTAACAACGCTTTGTAGTCAGACCTTGCTATGTCACAAAAACTAGTTTGGGCATTAAGCTTGAAGTTTTCAACTTTGTGCCGACTTGATATAAGAGTCGGCCAATCAGAGCATATACATAAAACCTATTGAGAGAGAAAGCTGTAGACACATACATGCATGCACAAATTTAGCTTCTCTAATTGGCTATGGCTTAGACCCTCTCTCGCAGGTGTGAATGGAACTCCCACATTTTGTGCCTTATGATTATGCGTCTATGACATTTATACCATCATGTGAACGGAGCCTTAGGATGGCATACTAAGAAGATGCACTGTCTTGTGGGGATAAGCAATTTATACTCCTAAGTCTAAAAAAACTAAAAAAAAAAAAAACTTGGAAAAAAAAGATCACACGACTTAAATTTGTTGTTGTCTAATTGCTCTAATTTGAGGCACATTATGAGAGGAAAGCAAAGGTAGTAATCAGAATTATTTAAAAAAATTTTATCCTTATATTTTTCTTAAAAATTCTGTAAAAATAAAATTTTGGTTTTTCCTCAAATAAATATATATGGAAAAAATAATAGCCACATAATCACAGATTTCATTTTGTTATATTTTATATTAACAAAATTTAAATTATTAAAAATCTCTTTCATGAAGGGAACATAAAAAACATCATGAAAACAATGAAAAAGAAGCAATATTTAAAAAGATAGTAGGCTTATTGATGAGGCTCCCATCAAAAGAATCAACCCCAAAATATTTTCATTTGCTTCAGTGTCCCGTCTGAAAATTTCACTGATTTCAATGAATATATTTTTAAAAAAATCTTTTATTTTCAAGTTTCTTTCATGCAAAACGTCCAAATTTGGTACAAATCAAATTCATCCCCCCTCTTTTTGATAGCTACAATATTATATTTAACAGTTTTAATAGCTATCAGTATGTAAACAACATAATGTAACACCATAAAAGAAAAACATAAATGATGACATTTTAATTTTGGCATAGAGAAATACATATTTACCCCCCAAAAGAGAGCTTGTATTTCTACCTTCTACGTCAGAGTCAATAACTGAAATGTCCAGATCAGAACTGAGAAGAAAAGAACCATAATTAGTTTAATTAAGATACAATAACACACCGACCAAGTATTAATTTGAGAGTCAAGCAACAAAAATCAGCATCAGCATATTTTGAAATATTCACTATTTGAAAATATAACGCTGATTTTGGTTGCTTGACTTCTAAATTAATACGTAATTAGTTAACCATAATTAAGTAACTGTAAGAGTTTCAATATCATGCACAGCTAATATCTATTTTAAAAATAAACCAACTTACCTCAGGAAAGCCTGGTTTGTCTTAGGAACATTAGCTGTAACTTCTGGCGTAGAAAAGTCAAATTTTTCACTTCCGGACCTAAGAATGAAAGAAATAAACTGCTATAGCATAATTAAAACAAAAAAAAAAAAAAAAAAAAAAAAAAAAAAAAAAAAAAAAACATGAATAATAAATAACATAACAAATTTAAGCATTAAGCTATGTATGACTACCACCCATCTCAGACAGTGCGACAGATATTGCTGTATACTGTTTCGCCATACCCTGTGTAGCTATTATATCATGCTGTATAACCACAGTTTAGAAAAACTTACAAAATGTGTTATTCATATCTATCTATCTAAAATGGTACATTACTACATGATTTGTAAGAATAAATTAGAGGGCTCTGCGAATGAAATTCCTTCCAATTAAAAAATGTAGGAATAAAGAAAATGCAGGAATTGCAAATGCAGAAATGAAAAAGGGATTATATTTTTTGCACAGAATCCAGATGACATATTTTTCAACATTTTAGAAATTTCAATATTAATTTTAGGGGCATAAAATATTAGGCCCCTAAAAGCAGAATATAGTTTTTAAATGTTCAGATAATCTTCCTATGAGAAGAATTCCTTTGAGAAGTACACATCTCAACCACAATTAAAAAACATGTACAAGAACAGAGCTGAGGACTTCTGTTTGCAGAAAGTCTGTCACATAACATATGAAAAGTTTCTTATTGGTAGATTTTTGATCAGACAGATATTTTAATTGTTATACAGAGAAAGCATTCACTCCCTTTTCATACTGGAGATAATTCAATTTGGACAATGGCAAAAAGGCTAGAAAGCAAGCCTGAGCGTATTGGTCCCATTCTTGGCACTAGTTTGGTTTACGCTCAAAATACACGCAGATATTTTCTAATTACCTGCATCCCAATATCAATTCAATTCAGCTTTTGGTGGAATTTACCATTTGTGACATATTTTTCAAAAACTACACTTCACAACATGCATACATGACAAATACACAGAACCATAAATAAACAAGCAATAATATATATTTATATATAAATTTTACTAAATGATCATAAAATGTTCCAACGCTAAAAGAAAGTTTTAACATCCAAGTAAATGACATAATAAAAAAAAGCACGTTGAACAGCGAGCACATGAATAAATGAGCATACACCTGTAAAAATATACCATACGTAACTGACAAAGCATTTCGTAGCAAACATATGACTATAAAATTTCCAATAATACATGTAATGATGGTGAATTCAATTTAGATCGCAAGAACATGCTCATACTTTTGAAAAGATTCAATTATTTCAGCAATTCCTTGTGAATTGGAATTTACCCTTTTCAATATTTCCCAACAATTTAGTGTGAATGGAGGAATAAATTGTTATAAACAGAATTGAACAATTATTAGCATCCCCTCATACACACACACACACACAACACAAAAAAAAAAAAAAAAAAAAAACTTACTTTGTAAAAAAAATCATCCGGGCAATGATTCTCCTTTGACACAGATGCAGTTTGTATCAATATTTCTTTCTGACCTTCAATAAAAAAAATACGCATATTTTACTTCGGAATTAACTTACTACGAAATCATAAACACGGGGTAGTCGATATAAAGAATAAATTATTTCTTACCTTTCGAAAACATCCGCTTGTTCGGAATCTTTCACATCTCGGGAATTTAATTTTCATATTTTTTTCTTGAGCTCGACGTTTACGCTGAATTCTGGATCTTTTATTAAAACCAGGATGTTTTTTTTTTTTTTTCGGTCGTCCTTGATATTTTCACATATTTTTTGCAAACTGACCACAGTACAAATAAATGTAAACAAAACGAGTGCGGAATAGCAATGCAATAGGGTTGCCGTAAACGTCATTCTGCTGACAGCTGACAATGTTTAGTGAAAACTGTGTATAAAGGAATATATGAAACGCTTCTAAATATTATTTAGAAAAAAAATATGATTTATAACTGATATCAAAATCAATTACTTCGTGAATTTTTGCAGAAATAAGATTACAATGTTAAATTTTAACTCGTAGCGCCATCTATTGATGGCTTTCCAAACTACACATTAAAATTACGTATTTCAAACTAATTTTTTGAAAATATAATATTTAAGTAATTTCATTTCAAACCTGATTCTAACATTGTGATTCGAAAACTGACCTATTGCTTTATATTTCTGCCAAATTTCACGCAACATAGTTTCTTAATTAGCGATTCTGCGTGTAAAAAAATTTTTAATATTGTAATGCTGCTGTAGTAGACCACCTTAACCCTTTCCGGACGAGCATCCCATATACGCATTCCCTAAGAACATCTCTTACAGCCGGGCGTCCCATCCATGCATCACTAGAGATTGAATTCAGGGGACAGTCTATGTGTACATGCATTTTAAGCTGGAACGTTTTTTTGAAGATCACTTTATGTCCATAACTTTTGAAATGAACACAGTTTTAGGTTCCTGACCTTGAGTTTACATATATTCTACCTGACTTTGGTATTTTACTCATCAACTGCCGTGAGGGTGGTGTTGAAGGTGGTGGGGAGAAAGCGCAAACAGATGTGGGCTTTTTAAATCACCACGTGCTAATGTAAATATTCGTGTATCTAATTTATATTCAATTCCTTTTTTTTTTTTTATTATATTTTTTTCCTACTATCTATGGTGTTTTAGAGTTACTATGTGGACCTCTGTTACATTTTGCATTGCCTTCTGATATATTTCGGATCATTCCCTCTTTATTTCGAAAAGCCTCACCACCAGTCTATTATGGCGTGAAAGCAATATTTATCAAAGGAAGAATCTGTGTTAGTAAATGCACTCGTACAGTTACTGAACTGTACGAGTGCATTTACTAACACAGATGAAAGTGATTATTCATTTTATAAAGAGTTAGAAAGTGATACTTCTCCATGCAGTCTTCATTTTAAATTTTATTACTTCTTACTGCAAATAGTCTTTATTGTGTTATTTTATTAATTTTAAACTTTACTGATGAATTTTATCAATCAAAACTTTGAATATTAATTTGAACAGCACTTCCAAAAATTATTTTACAAGCAATGTTTTAAATATATTTTCATATAAAATAAAGAAAAAAGGTTATTGAATGCTAATTTCAACATAATTATATAAGAGCTCAAGTAATAACCTAAAATGGTTAAATTACAATGCTAGAAGTGAAACTTTTTTCCTGATTTTTTTTTTAAAAATAAAATTAGGCTTAGCGATGCAAAACCCCTATCCCGTGTGATGACTGCCTTTGATTCCCTTCCGTCCCACACGAGCATCTTAAACAAAAGCGTGCTATTGCGAAAGGGTTAATTTCAACTGTCTTTTTGGCATATTTTTTAATATAAACATAATAATAATATCAGCCCAGACATGCACATATCACACACAACTCCCCTCCCTTGAGTCACTTGCTCAACAATAGATAATGAGGATAGATACTGTTCTATCCTCATTATCTGTTGTTGAGCAAGTGAACATATAATTATAAAAATGTAAATATTGGCCATATAGGTTTCGTTTACTTGTCATAAAATTCCATATAATGCTTCTCTTTTCACAACAGAACATCACCCATGAGCCATAAAAATAGTCAAATGTTTTTCACAAAATCACTAATGAACTGAATACAAAATTTCCCAAGGATTGGATATTCAGACAGTACCACTTTTAATCTTCATCTTTTTCATAAGCTACACAGCCTGTTGCAGGCCAAGGCTATCTCTCCAAGTTTCCTCCACCTGACCCCATTTGACACAATAATCCCCAATTGCTTAACTCCAATTAACCTTAAATCCTCCTAACATCATCTATCCATCTGGTGGGTGGTCTTCCTCTTCATCTTACTACTTCAATTCTCGAAAAGGTTACCCTTTTGATTGGAAATGCATCGTCATACCTGACCACATGGCCCAGTCATCTGATAAGAGAAGATTTTAAAATTCTCGCAATATCAGTTTCACCATATTTCCTATAGTTCATGATTATAGAGAATTCTCCACATGCCATTTTGTTGTACTGGTCCAAAGATCTTTCTTAAAATTTTTCTTTCAAAAGTTTATGTCAGGTCTTTCTCTGCTCTGTTAAGTATCCAACATTCACTTCCATAAAGGGCAACAGGCCTTATTAAAGTTTTGTATAAATTTAATTTAGTTTTTATGTTGATTAAGTTTGGATTTAAGTTGTTTTTTAAGGCCCTAGTAGCATCTATTAGCTATAAATACTCTATTACTTTTACCACTTTTAATCACTCTTTGAAAAATTCATATCTGGTCATCAAACTAATTATAGTAAAAAATTAACTAAATTTTAAAATTTTAAAATGATTAAATTTTTTTTTAATCTTAAAAAAAAAAAAAAAAAAAAAAAAAAAAAAAAAACTCACCCAATACGGTGGAAGCTCCTCTTCAGATATCTTTCCCTTAGAGAACCAAAAATTTTTATTTCTTTGATAATAAAGAATTTATTTCATATATTTTTTTACAGAAATAAATATAAATAAAGGATTCCTTTATTTATATTAAAACAACCTTTTAAATATTCCTGATAGTCAGGACAGAAAATGCACCTTATGCCTGCTGAATTATAAGATGAAAACAGAAACATAACAATTTAGAGATACTTGGCAAATTTTACAATTATAGCTAGGGATCTGAAAATGGAGATTGAACTGGAATAAACTGAAAATATCAGGTTTTAACGAAAGTTTCCTGCCACCGCAAATAGTTTGTGTTGGCAAATTTAATCATATTTTTGCAAATGATTTTTGGCATTTGAAAGAAAAAGATTTGCTTTGCTGTGAAATTTGTAAAAATATATCATTATCCTTAAGTACAAGGTGTCTAAAATGGAACTATCAAGCTACCAACATTTACTTCTAATTCTGTTGCAAAAAGTCAGCTACAGAATGTCACCAAATCATGTGTACAGCTTTAAGTACTAATGTTGTATCATATGACGATACAACATGTGTACAGCTTTAAGTTCAAAAATAAAGAGTATGACATTCAAGAAAGCAGAGTGCTTCTGCTGGTCTACTGATGTTGATGGGGGACCACCCGCGAGAACTTGAGGAAGAAATCAGTACATAACCACTCGAGAGCTTGCTAAGGAGTTGGATGTTAATGGTATGTCCATCAGTCATGCTATGCATCGCATAAACTTGATATACGAGTTCAATCACTGACTGCCACAAGAGCTGATTCTCGCAGATAAGGACAGACCTGTTCGGGCTTGCACTATCTGCCTGAACATCAATGCAAGGACAAAATTCTGGATCGGATCATCACTTGTGATGAAAAGTGGATTTACTTCAACATCAGAGACCAAAAAGGGGGTTGGTCTGTGTCTGGTGAAACGTCGGCAGCGTCACAAAGTGCAGTTTGACTAACAAAAAAGGTGGGATTCCAATGGTATCAGGTTTGTATCTATTGGGACCTCCCATAGTATCCACAAAGAATATCTGGAAAAAAGGTATAAAACCCTCGACAGTAAGGTGTGTAGCAAGATGCTAATCCATGTTGATGCTTCTATCAAGGAAAAATGTCAAACTCAGTTGGGTACAAAAAAGTAAAGTTAAATCAAGATAAGGTAAGAACACATGTCTCTACACTCAAGAAGAAACTATCAAAACATTGGCAGAAAATCATAGATTTGAGTTGTGATTACTGCCCGCACTAAAGGTACTGCTTTCATGCTTGTTTTTTTCCCCTAATTTTACTAAGAATGTTTTTCGGTGGAAAACTTTTGTTACCAGATATTAATGCAAATAGTACTTGCATATTAATGGAACTACCTTGGTATAAAATTGGCAATTTTTAACTTTTATTTAAAAAGATCACCAAACTATCGATATTTATCATAAGTTGACAAACATTATCACCATATGAAATAAAACATGTTTAACAAATCAAAATACAAATCTTATTAAGTAAGGTGTTACTGTGCATATGGGTTCTGAAATAAGGGTTTGAAGTTTTACATACATCTCTTCAAGAAATTTTTAAAAACCATTAGTACATAACAATATGCTTCAGAAGTTTAAACAGGAAAAATATTCTCACCAACTGAACAGGTTCTTTATCATCATCTAGTACATTGCTATCAAGTGTCACATATAACTTCCGCTCATCAATTGAACATGAACAAACGGCAGCTGAAATAAAAATGGAATAAATCAATAGCAAACATTTTAGATGGCTAAAAACACTAAGAAATTCAGTCCCAAGTGAAAATTCACAAGCATATATATCAGATATGATTTCAACTACTGCACTTGAAATTTGTAATATTCAGCAAAAATTTAAATGAGAAACATACAGCTGCATGATAAAAAATTTTTTTAAAAATCCGAAAGCTTTCAGATTTTATATTACGCTCAAAGAGACATTTTTTTTAACATTCTGTGTGTTACATTTATTTATTAAATATCACGTTCTTCACATTTAAACTATAAAATTCAATTTAACAGCAATATCACACAAAATTTAAAAGAGCATATCTTTAGAATTTCTGATACACAGTCTCACATGCTGGAGATAATCCCCCCCCCAGTACAGTGTTGCCATTGCTCACTTTGAAATCGTTGAGTTTCTTACAAAATATGAAATAGATAATAAAACAAATTCCAAATTGGGGCTTCCAGACGCCCATATTCGGGTGGAGACGTACATTATTCAAAATAGGATGGTTCTAGGTACTGTTGTTTTATTACAATGTGAGAAACATACATACATTTATGCAGATTCTTCATTATTTAATTTCTTTAAATATAGTACAGGGCGCTAATACTGGGTGTCAACAATTTAAAAAGCGATTCGGTATTTATAGTGAATCGCAGCAAAATGCCAAAACGAAATTAATAGCCCTTTTGGGCTTGCCCCATTGTGCTTGAAAAACACAATGACAATTTTATTCTATGGAAAAACAAGAAAATTTAAGAATAATATTACCTCTAATTAAATCTTCAGACTTTAATTCTCCTCCAGCAAGATCCATTTCAGGTTGTAATTTAGGTAGATACATCTGTAATATGAAAAATTACATAATTTCAGAAATTAGAATTTTAGGATAGTTTATCTGAATATGGCAAAGCCATGATTGTTATCTGCATAAGAGGAGGTATACCTTCATGGAGGAATTTCTGAGGGAAACTGGTTCCTATTCACATTATACACGGAATGGGGAAACCACTAAACCCAACTGTGCAGCCAGCCAATCGGAATCGAACCAAAGCAGGTCGAACTACTGGCATTCAGTGATTTTAAACATTTGGCCTCTGGTAAAGCAATTTGAATTTTAACATCAAAAAAGTAGTTTTTGAACATTATCTCCAAAGGAGTATTTCAGATTAATGATACTGACACTTTGCTCAACAAATAATTAAGGAAACAAATGTCTAGCCTAAAATATCAAAACTGTACCCTAGTTACATTTATCAAATATTTATACCATCAAATTATTAGGCCTTGAAAGGAAATCAACAAAGTAATTTTTCAGTTTTGATAACTATTGATTTTATTGAACAAATACACTGTTAATGAAAGAGTTACATAAGTTAATGAAAGAGAAATTATGTGATTTTACTACAACAGAACATGACAATTTCCTTCCGTTCCTTTTAATTTTTAACATTTCTTTTTCAAAATGCATTCTAAAAATTTAATCAGTGAGACTTTACAATCACCCACCCCATAAAACAATTTTGTCATTCCGTACAAAGACACTCAAAGGAATGAAATATCGTATTTGCTGGCATATAAATTTTTTCTTTGAAAATAGGTCTCGAAAAAGGGGTGCATCTTATACATCAGTATTCAGTTCATTTGGAGTTGTGTGATTTTTTTCTTGTTTCCTTGTGGAATGTAAGCATATTACAGTTACGTAGAGTTCAGTGACTGCGCCGTCATCAACAATCACAGCTGGGTTCATTTAAACTTTCCAATTTTCCTGAACGACTTTTAAGTGTGTGAAATTTTTAACTGTTCAGTTTTCTTAAATTTGTTTGCAAATTATGGCTCAAAAATAACATCGATAGGCTCCAACTGAGAAAATGATAAGAACTTGGCGGAATCAGAAAGAGGTAGAAATGCACTGGATGATATAGAGGACAATTTGTAATTTGAGTCCTCATATGCTCATAAAAGAAGTTTCAAGTGACTCTTCATTTAGCTCTGGAGATGAGTATCTGTGTTCTGATGAAGAAGATTAAAAATTGTTCCTTCTCAGAGAGATTGGGTATTTTCAGAAAGTAATACTTTGTATTTGTATCTCTTTACATTTAAAATAATGATCAGTAATAAAGTTTTATCCTTCAAAAATGTGTATAAAAAAGGGGGTGCGTCTTGTAGTCTTATACCGCCGGCAAATACACTACATAATGTTTAATTTATACCATCAAATTACAAGACCAACTTTTCAGTGTATTATTTCAAGCTTTAATTTAAACAAACAGAACAATTCAAATACAATAGATAAACAATAACAGTATTAAAAATTCCTTTAAATACCAATAGAAAAAGAAGAAAGATTTTTAAATAAAGTCATATTTCTTAAAGTACTTACAGTCAAAGACAGATCATCTAATTTCATGCATCCTTCTTGTTTAGCTAAAACAAGCAATTTGTAGTTGTCTGGAAGCTTATCATTTATAACCCGTAATGATAAAATATCTCCACGATCTAAGCTCTAAAAAGAAATTAAAAAAACAGCTTGCTAAAAGAATGAAAACATTCACAAGATTGCACTAACACATAGAAGCAAATAAAGGAAAATTAGGCACACATCCCAGATATTTGTCCTCCACATTTTAAGTTTAAATGATATACACAGAAGTTTCGCAGATGGCAGCAGAGTACTTGTAATTTCATTATACAAATGCAGTATGCAGATTTAGAATATTTTTCTTGTTAGAATATGTTTAGAAAAGATTCAATTTCAGTGCTCATCATTTTTACGTATTTAATATTTGTAAAATGAGTAGCAAGTGAACAAGATAATTTAAGTCTCGAAGAATCGGGAAGTGATACAGAACGCTGCTTCTATTTAGATGCTTTTGAATCTGAAGTATCATAAGTTGAAGACACTGGCAATAGTGATGATCCCGTGCAACATTTACCACGGTACCAATGGAATGAAATTATGCCGCATGTCCCAGATATTTGTCCTCCATATTTTAAGTTTAAATTATTGCCTGTCCTCTCGTATGGATTGGTAGGAAAGGAAGACGCCTGGATCCTACAAGGTGCTCTTCCTCAAAATTGGGGGTGGAAAATAGCCACCACCCAATAACCTCTCTTCGGAGTAGGTTCTGCAACCACTGTTCCACGTTATATGGGCACGACATCAACAACAAATTACTGCCTAAAGTTAAGATTTCCTTTCAATCCAGTTCAGGAATTTTACAATCTTATGAGCATTTTATAAATAATGAAACAGTGGATATAATTGTAAAGGAAACTAATCGTTATGCTGAGCAATGAGCTTATATTATGGGTTAAAGGAAACTGAAAGTGAGAAGAGAATATAATCCTGTATCGCCACATGAAATGCATTTGTTCTTTGTATTTTCAGTTCAGTTATTATTAAAAAAAACTTGGAGAAAGCATGTACTGGACTAAGAAAACATCAGTGGAAACTCTTTTATCCATGAGATTATGCAATATAATCGACACGGTGAAATAAAAAAAAAAATACTTGCATTTCGTGAGCAATGATTCTCATGATCCAGAAAATCATCCTAACACGAAACCAGGGCTTAATTTCTAACATTAGAAGTGCCAGAGCCTAAGGAAGATTGCCAGGAAAAAAGAGCAAAAATAAATAAAATGGCTAGTAAAATACTTAATAATTAAACAGTTAAACAATTAACATTAAAATTTAATAAAATGTAAAGAGCTCAAATATAATAAGTTATTAAATAAATGGTAAATAATTAAAAATATTAACACTAGAATTACAGAAGGGGTGATTTTGACACCTAGCGAACTTTTATCTCTGACAGTTCTTGTTTTTTTCGAAAATATCTTAATCTTTTCTTGACTTTTCCTAAATCATTATGATTTACAAAATAGTAAAGATTTCAAGAAAATCTTATTTTTATTTTAGCTCTAACAAGTGATTATACCTAGAAATACGGCAGGTGTCATTTTGACTCCTTTGAGAGAAAACAAATGTGAATACATTCCATCGTATTATCTGAACACTGTTACTTCTGCAACTATTTTTATTTGCACCTGCTAAACAAATTACAAACAAAGGAAAAGAATATGGTGGGTCTGCGTAGTTTCACATCGGCCAGTCACATGATTTGAAATATGTGCAATACTTTTCTTTTTGGAAAGAAAACAGAGAAAAGAAATTATTACGAGCTGAACGTTTGTAGATTTTTCATAGATAATTTGTTTATTATTCATAACAAGTTTTAGTGGAAAATTTTATTCTATTTACATGAATTTATTATAGTGACGTACTAATGGCGCGTAGAAAAGGACTAATGCATGAAGAAATCGTGAAACTGATGCAAGAACTATCTGATGCCAATTCTGGTTCTGAAATTGAAAATAATTCTAGAGTTAAAGATGGAGATGAAACATCTGGTGATTCTGAATTTATTATAGAGAGTAATCAGGCGATATCATCCTCTAGCTCAAATGAAGTGCAAATGGATTTGTTTCTAAGAGTTCAAATTCTACCGTACCTAAGAATGCCAAAGCGGGAACTAGTAGGCGCTCAAAAGGGAATATGAAATTCAACGTAATTCAGACTAACGTAAAGAAATTGCTAGTGATGGAACTGTATGGAAAGTAGAAAATACTTCAAATACTTCTGGTCAGCCACCCTTGCAAATTATCTTGCGAGAAAATGCAGGACCGAAATCCTATGCTAAACGTCACATTTGTTCTGGTAAAGCTCTTAGTGCATGGAAGTAAATGAAAAAAAATTATACGTCATAAAGGCGTGTACTGATGCTGAAGCCAAGCGTAAACTTCATAATGACTTTTTCACTATTTTATTAGCAGAACTGGAAGCATTCATAGCATTGTTGTATGTAAGGGGGTAATTAGCCACCAGAGGCTTACCAATTCTTAGTATGTGGTCCAAGACTTGACCAAAGTTTTTTCATGAAATTATGAGTAGATAGGTTTCTGGAAATTATGAAATTTCTTTGTTTTGATAATAAACTAACAAGGTCTTCAAGTTTGCAGTGTGATAAATTTGCACTAATATCCGAGGTATGGAATACTTTTATAGAAAACTGTAAGCTTTGCTACAAACCAAATGAAAACATTATGATTGATGAACAGTTATTCCCTACAAAAACAAGATGCTGTTTCTTGTAGTATATGCCTAACAAGCCCGATAAATTTGGAATAAAATTTTGGCTAGCAGTAGTCGTTAGGACAAAATACTTATTAAACGGATTTCCATATTTAGGAAAAAGATGAAATGAGACCAAGTGATCAAAGTTTAGGAGAGAACTAGTCTCGGGTTTAATTTAAGCTCTGAATAAAATGTGCTAGTTCAAGGGATGATAGAAATAAAGGCCATTCTTTTGCTAGCACAGCCCATAAAAAAAACGTTGAATTGGTTAAAGCATAACTAATGAAAATATAGAGAATGCTATAAAACAGTAAGACAATATGGAGAAAATTTTAACGGATGGCCTATAGGTATGAAAACAAAAAGCGAAGAGTACAACACTTCCTGACCACTATCTCTCCTCAGTATAATTTCTAGTGGTCAAGAAGAATACGATAGGGGAACAAATTTTTACCAAATCCGAGGTTTAGCTGAAAAAATGTAACAAGTGATAATTTTAATCCTCCCATCTTTTACATCATTCCAAATAGTCTGCAGGTGGGAAGACACTAGCGTTAGAAAGAAAAATTTACCCGCTGTCATAAATTCATCATATTCTCTGGAGAATAAACCTTTTACACATGGGTAGGGACTTCTGTTTCCTTAAAAGTCTCGACCTCCATACAAGAATTTGTTTCTCAAGGAAAGAGAAGCACACATTCAGAAGTTAGAATCGGTTTTTATAATTTTTAAATATTAAAAATCAAAAAATAAAATTTTGAAGATCAGATTTCTGCGGAAATTGTTGCTCAGTTACATTAAAGAACTGCCAGAGCCTTCTTATTTAGAGCTCTGGTGCCCTTTGCTTAGAATTATGATTTATCCCAAAAACTAAGAAGCACCGGAGCAATTTAAGCTCTGTCTGAAATTATAGAAATTTTGCCTACGTGCGAGCATTTGAATATCAAATAACAATTATTTCAAAAAAAAAAAAAAAAAAAAAGATATTAGAACACAATAAAACTTTGATGTTGTTCAAAGGATATTTATCCTGGTGCCAATATATACCCTTGAAAAAAAGCAAAATTTGGTATCAAAACATATGAGGTGTGACACACACACACACACACACACACAAAAAAAAAAAAAAAAAAAAGCTTTAAAACAGAGTGGAGTGGCAACAACTATTTTGGTGACGACATGCCACATACCTCCTCTATCCATGCAGCCAGTTTTGACTTAAACGACCACACCAGTGGGGAGTACTGCATCATTGAGTGAATACGCACAACTGCATTCTGCCGAAAAAATGTCTAATGTAAAAACCGAACAGCAAAACAACATCAAGTTTCTTGTGAAACTTAAGAAATCAGCCACAGAGGAGACATTTCAAATGTTAACCAAGGCTGCGGTAAGGAAATGAAACTTTGTCTCATACACGTGTGTTTGAATAACATAAGCGGTTTTCAAGGGGATGGGACAGTGTAGAAGATGATGAATGTGCTAGGCGTTCCTTTGGGCACCCAGCAAGTTCATGATTGAATAGGTTCCCAGTGGTCAAACTGTTAATACTTTACCTACCAATCGCCTATAGATCGGCTTTTTATCGTCAATGCCTACCGGCCTATAGCCTATTAATCGCTTTTTTCTTGGGGATACCTAAAAAAAGCCTATCAATCGGTAGCCATGGCGATAAGCAACTGCCATTTACTTTATCATCTGTATTTTATTATTAGGGAGGATCTGTGGCTGAGCGGCCGGTCGGACATGCATGTTCTGTTGAACCGCTAGCAGTCGGTAAAGTATTAATCAACACTATTACATTAAACGATTAAAACAACTTTGTGAAAAAAATTAGGGAAAAAAAGGCCACAGTTGCGAAGTGATGGATGGCTATTGCACCAGGACAATGCACCTGCTCACACGACCATATCTGTCAAGCAGTTTCTGACGAGCAAAAACATTACTGCAATGAGGCACCCTCCTTATTCACCTGATTTGGCTCCATGCGACTTTATTTTATTTCCTAAAGTTAAATCTTACTTAAAAGGAATCAATTTTACCTCAGCTGAAGAGGTTCAGGCAAAAACAGAGAATCTCCTAAAGGGCCTTCCAAAAACCTTGTTCCAGAACTGTTACCAGCAATGGCAGCATCGAATGCAGAAGTGTGTGAATGCTGAAGGGAACTATCTTGAAGGTGATAATGTCACAGAGAACTGATTCTGTAAGTACAATAATTTATTGGACTAGTCTTCTTCTTCTCCCTTTTTTTTGGGGGGGGAGGGGGTTGTGTGTGTGTTACACCTTGCTACTTTATCCTAGATTTCAATCTCTATTGGTACCTTTGATGATGTCATTATTGAAACAAGGCTATTGCATCACCTTAA